AAATATTGTGCATTGTCACCGTTTTCCTGGTTTAGGCAAAAACTGTGGGTCTATCTGATTTGTTGCATGTAATTTCATATATAGTTAAACACTGTATTTTTGGACTTTTAAAAACAATGAAGAGAATATTTTAAGCATTGACTTGTTTTCTTGTTTAATTGGTAACAGTACTTCAAACGTTTGTTTCCCTTTATTATAAATATGTTTAATCTGTTATGGAATACTGTGTTAACCTACTATGTCTGAGGTTCTTTTTAAATATTTAATCTCACATCCTATTTCACTTACTAGCTTTTATTTAATAGAATAAAACATGTTCAGAAAACCATATGGCTTACAGTTTTCATTTTTAAAAAAAGTTCAGCTGGGAGAAACAATATAAAAACTGGAGCTAATTTGACAGCAGTGTTAAAAGAACTAGTATTTCCTTGAACTATGAATTTGAATTCTGTTTCCAAGAGTAGCATTAACATGTAAAATTGTGTGAACTGAACTAGTTTCTTCTTGGTGACTTTTGATTAGTGACTAAACTGAAGACATTTATGAATGTGTTTTTAAATAAGATCAATGTAATCTTATTTATATGGTATTATCTACTATATAAAAGTGTTACTGTACCAAAAATCATACATTCATTTGAGTGAGTTGATAGAAGGCCTTGCCCTCCAGGGAAATGTTAAGAGCTGAAACAATGGTAAATGTTACCTTAAATGGTACCTTAAATGTTGTACAAGATATAAGGATTGCTGTGTCTAGAGAATTTGTTGCAGTTCATATAGCACCCAGATATTCATAAATATGCGATCTGAAGGGGGGAAATGCTAAGCCCTTCAAACTAATGATCTGAATGCATTACTCATAACACCAATGATGAAATAATTTAATCAAACATTTTACAATTGCTTGCTATATTTGAGTAGACTTAGTTTGATAGCTTTGTGTCCAAGTGTAATTTAAAATGCAATACAAAACTTTTTAGTTTGCAACTTCATTTATTGCTTCGCACTGCTGCAGTACAATAACTACCAGCTGGCATTTAAGTACAGCTAGATTGTTAATAGTATAACTAGCTCAAAATTTAAGCAAATCAAAATTAAGCTTTCATATACTGAATTGTGATGTGTAATAAAAACACAAGAACTATTTTCTTTATACAGGAAACACTTAGGGGTCCTTATAGCATACTGAGATCTGAAAGGAAATAGGCACTTGTTTGCTTTTGTTCTACAAAAAATATGGAAACCTAATTCAATGAACAGAATATAATAAAATTGGAATAAAATATTTTACCTGAAAAAAGTGGATAGTATGAACAGGCATTCAGAAATGATAATAATTTTTTTTGGTAATCATTCCCCCTCTTAGGACAGTTTTCAATAGTTGTGATAAATCTGGATCAGGTTTTAGTGGCTGATATAAATAAATTTCAGAGTCAATTCTATGGAGGGTAGAGAGTTTTTAACAGAATATGTTAATAAGGAAATTAGACCTTCTCCTTCTTAGTATTATTCCTTTTATTAATATTCAAGAGCAATAAATAGGATCCTTTGCAGTTAGTAAAAATGAAATGCATATTCATATACTATTGAAGTTAAGAACACAACTCCATTATAAAGATACTTATAAATCCATGGTGCAGCTTCAGTTGACTTAGTCTATCTGAGTAACTTACTTCAAGAATCCAAGCTAATGAAATAAGCTAATTTCAAACTGATAAATCTAGAGCAAACCAAAAAGAATATTGAATGAAAGTTCAACAGGAAAATCCCAAGGGATATAAAATAAGCACAAAGCAGCCAAAATAAATGTCCATCGATTGTGTTAAAAGAGACGTATATCTAGGTAAGAGTATCTTCCAAGTAAATCCCATTAATTTCTTTTATTTTCCACTGAAATTAAATGTTCTTGAACTCTGGAGAATGCCCCAAATGTAGATGTTTAACTTTTGAAAGTGCTGGGTTGTTTGTTTTTAAATGGGCTTCTAATACTTTAAAATAATCGCAAATACGTATTGCATCTAGTCTGTCAAAGATGGGTCTAATTTCAAATGCAGTGCTTGAAATTAAAATTTAAAAAGGCAGCTGGTTTTAAAAATGTAGTGGCTCATTGATACAATCCTAAATTATTGTTCCATATCTTTCAATAGCAGCAATAGTAGGATAACAAGTTTTCAGAAATTCTAAAAACAAATTAACTTAGTTTCAGAGTCTGGGTGTTAGAAAGAATTGACTTCATTGAAAGGCTTTATTATTTTCAAAATGAATGTAAATATTTTAAATGCTTTTATAAACAGAATACTAAAACTTTTCTTACTATGACTAATAGAATTAATTATAAGAGGCAAGACTAATTTAGAGGAGCATGATTGTTTTGACTAAATCCACATTACTAGAAGATAGCTAATATCTCTGTTCTAGCAAAATTCTGCTACTCTCTCACTTAATGCCCGTTTAACTATCAGTTTCTATAAGTAAAGCACTAGGCGTTCATGAAAATATTTTTTATACTAAAAATTAAATCAAAATTGCCTAAGAGAATGTTTCCTTGGCAAAGCTTAAGATTTCAACCCTTGTTAATATTTGCGTGGTGATGTCTTATTTGCTGACACATGTTTTAGAGTTTGGGGCATCTAAAAACTTTTAAATAATAACTCTTACAATTTAGCATTTGTTTCTGCAGGGCTAGATAGAATTTTTCAACATTTATTAAATAGACTTTGGATGCAATTGTGTAGTGTGTGTATATATATACACACACACCATTATATATATATATAGTCATTATGACTAACTTAATTCTTTTGTCTGTCTAATCAGAAACAACAAAAGTTAAATTTGTATTAAGCCAAACAAAACAGTATTAAACAACTGAATAGATGAAGAAATAAGCAACTCAAAGGCAAAAATGCTATTTCCCCCCAGAAAAGCTCTCGAATTTTAGTGGGTGGCGGATATCCTAATAAGAGTTTCTAGTGTATGTGCTACTGAATATTATAATATCCTGTAGTATTGGGAGACAATTTTTTGCTTTGTCTAGTTCAAATCAGTTTATAACATGCTGTCTAATCTCATGATCTCTGATAATACAGGCAATATTTCGATCTCATGCCTCCTAGGTTGCTAATTTTCTATAGAAATGGCAATGTGAAATTGCAATAAAGCTGCCCTCAAATCCATTGTACTGCTAGTCTCACATTCAGGAAACAAAGGACTTTGCACATACTAGGCCATCCCCCTTTTCTGGTAATTCACTTTTGGAAACTCTGGTACCAATGTTCAAGATCATACTAGTCTAATGATTGGCAGATGCCATTGTATAGCACTGGAGCATAATGAATGTCAGGTGCTATGTAAACACAACAAGGGAGAAGACTAAGTACTAATTGATGGAAATGAAGACTGGTCAAATCTGTGGTGCAGGAGTTATTGCAACAGGAACTTAATAGCACCATTTAACCACAACAGATGATAGACCCCAAAGTATGGAAGTAGATTGTCAAAGGGCAGTTCTGTCTATTCATCCTTGGTTCTGTTTACAGGAACGAAATGGTGGAGCTTCCATCACCTAAATACAAGTGAGCTGTGTCATGAGAAATAGGATCTCATTTTGAATTATTCACAGTTAAACCCAGTACTCTGTTTGCTTAGTGAGTGGTATGCGGTGAAGAAGAATTTGTAGTAATAAACATGTCGTGTAAACTCCTCCCAGAAGATAAATCATCATAGAAAGTGAAATAAATGCCATGTCTCTAGCAGTAGCACTACTGGTAGTTCTCTTAGAATAGGGAATCGCTCTTAGGAAAGGAAAAGAGAACACTCACTTATATATTTCTGTGTATTCCAAATATGTCCCAATATGGTTGTAATCCGTAAATGCAGGAGTAAAATGGACATGAAGTTTTAATATGTACAGAGTGTATATGGATTTAAAGAATATAATGTCAGGTATAGTGTGGTATGATTTATTCATAACCCTAAATAATAAGCTGTAAAAAGTTATTTAAAAAGTATCTAGGGGATATTGCAATATATTGAATTTCTATAGCTGTGGGAATTCTTAGATAAAATATTCTGAGTGCTTGATTTCTCAAATGAGGAGTGAAGAGAATTCTGTTTTTAAGGTATTATGGTTCACAGCACCAGAAAAAAGATTTGCAATACTTTAGATTTATAACAGTGTTAACTTGAAGGAGGCAGAATTGGAGCAGTTGTCCTTATACTGTAAACTTTTGAGGTGTACTGATAGATTAGGTGCCAACAGACAGTACATGCACTGTTCTTGTTTAATATAGTCTAGAAGCTGTGCATTATACCAAAAACAAAAATAAAAACCCTTATCTACTGACACAGCCCAGAGAACAATTTTTTTCTAAAAATATTGAGTTCTCAAAATAAACATTGGACAATAATGTATACAGGGAGTAGACAACCAAACACGCCAATTCCTCTTCAGTTTGTTGAATGCCACGAAATAAACATGCTGGCTTTATCTAAACAATATTTGTTTCAATGTTCTTAAAGAAATAAATGGTTGTTTAGACTTGGGTAACTGTGAAAAGCTTCTCATTTTAAGATGTTTGTATTTGTGTGTAACATCCTTGTTATATGGCATAGTGTGCTGTGGGAGAATGAGCCACCAGAAGACTTAAGAGTTGCTTGTACACTTGAGAGAATAATGCATTGTGCTATCAAGTCACTGTGAGGTAGCTAGTTTTGTAGAGGAATCCATTTAAAGGATAAATGCCTTTATTAAAGTGTGAAAGCCCTTTTTTCTTCAGTACATTAGTACATTAGACTGGTTATCCAATTGTGGTTGTGATGAGCTAGGTAAGTCTCAACCTGTTAAAAAGTTTACAGGTCACTTCATAGAGTCAAGAACTGGCATTTTATAGCCTCCTAATGAGCCATTAAACTGGAGAAGAGGTAATGAAATACAGTGCTCTAGTAGAATTAACATAGTAGTGACTGCAGCTCTCTGATTTCTAGGTACTTCAGAAGACTATGAGATCATTTTGGAAAGTCTCTTCAAGTCCAGGTTAGTTCTTTTTCTATCCTCCTTCCCCTCTTAGGGCTGTCTCTGGCTGTCATTAGTAACTGGAATGGGTCACAAATTTTTTTTAAAAAATCCTACCTGGAATGTTAACTTCTGAGTAAAGAAGCCAGTAAACATTTTCTCTTCTATTCAGGCCTATTCTATTCAGACCTTCTGGCATCTGAATGCAAAGCAATTGTTGTTTGGACACAAGGACTACTAATTGTTGTAGAAAGGTGCCATATTGCAGTGGGTGGGAGGCTTCATTCATGTGGAATCTGCCAATTTCTTGGAAGTATTATGTTACGTCAATATGGCTTTGCTGCTGTCCCTGAAGTGGGGAGGAGCCATGCTAAATAAATCATCCTCTTCTTTATTGTGCTAGTAACTTGGTTTAGTATTATTCTCTGTCATGGATTGCTTTTACAGAAATAAGGAGAAAGTTTGAGTAATCAGAAGGATAAGTTGACATCTGCACTGATACTAAGATGATATAAATGCAAAAATGTCAGTACTCAAAATACATCAGAAAAGTGGCATTAAATACAGACTCACATGTTTTGAGCTGCTCCTGTAAAGAAGTGGGTATATGTAAATGTCTCCTATTTCTGGTTCATCTTCTAAATACTATGCAGGAGATGCGGAAAACCTACACAAGGTACTGTTATCTTTCTAACAGGTTTTCCAAATGTTCTGCGTCATGGGCTTGGTGTTTAGCCAAAGCTTGTATTCACCTTGACCTCCAAAACCCAGACTGGCATTTGATACACCCAATCACCCACATTTCTCTGTTCTCAAGCTCTGGACAGAGAAAGGAAAAGCTAAATCAAAACTATTCCTGCTTGTTCCTGTCCAAAGAATTGCTTGTGTTCACCTCCCTGGATATTGGCAAGGTGCGTCATGCAGTAAGAAGCTGTGAGGTCCCTACTTGGTTTTTCACCTCACTTAAAACAGGAGGCTTGGCATTTCCAAGTCACCTAGCTCATGGAGGGGAGGTAAAGGTTGCAGTTAGGGATAGCAGCCTCCAGGTGGGGCCTGGGGATCTCCTGGAATTACAGCTCATCTCCAGTCTAAAGAGATCAGTTCCCCTGGAGAAAAGGATGCTTAGGGGGGTGAACTCCATGTACCTCACTGAGGTCCCCGTCCTCAAGCTCCATCCCCGAATATCCAGGAGTTTCAGAATCTGGATTTGGCAATCCTACCCTCCATCCCTCACCAGTGGCCAGAGGGAGCCTGGCAACCCTAGATGCAATTTATTTATTTATTTATTATTTAGCTTTCTATCCCGCCCTCCCTGCAGGCTCAGGGCGGCTAACAGGGCATAATGCCAGATAAAACAATATAAAATGTTAAATGTCACAGAAATCTAACATGCCCACCACTTTTGGAGGAACTGTGTCCTGTGTTATACAGCTTCAGACCAACTCTGTTCTTCTCTCAATGGGGGGGGGGGGTTTCCTGGGAAAGGAAGCGTAATCTTACCTACACCTGTAGGGGGTGGAAAGGAGGGTCGTCTGCCGGAAGGCACCAACAGCTAGGAAAAGCCACTTCTGTCATCCACTTTGCAGCCTTTGTTATTATTTTTACTACACTTCTGAAACTAGTTTACAGGGTTAAACTCGCATTGACCGGCAAAACGCAAGAGGTTCACTAGGCAGAGACTTCGGCAGTGTAATTCTCAAGTGCCTCTCGGAAGTAAACCCCCCCCCCCCGGCTTTTTGGGGGGCAGTTTTTCCCACCAAATGGATGTAGGATTGCCGCGTGAACAAAAGCATCCTCGAATCGCGCCTCCTGGAACCGAGCTCCCCGTAGCAGCAGATGCTGATCTCCCAGTGAAAAGCCGCTGGTGTCCACAAGGGCGCAGCCTCCGCAGGACTATCTCCGAGCTGTTTAAGCGCCCTAGCGCTCTCGGTATACACGCTCTCCCTCTCTATGGGTCTGCCTTCATCGGACCCAGGCGTGCTGGCCTAATCCCCTCGGGTCTGCCATGCGTGTGGGTCCTGAATCGAAAGCGCCCTCCGTGCGGGGCGCTGCTATGAGGGCGGGGGGGGGGCGGGGGGGGTGTTGGATAAGCGAGTCATCACTTGATGAACTTAGGTGTGAGACCGCATGGCTGAATTCTTGGCGCAGTATTTTATTTATTTAGGTTTCCGCTGTGTTACATTTTGTCTCTCCATTATTTGCGCTAAACTTTGTAGAAAATGTATACCACTGGGCCGGATTTAGACTTGCTGAGGCCCTAAGCTATACAAAACCCAGAGCCCCCCTACTGTTTTAAATTACATCAGCTGGTCTCAGAAAAATTTAAAATATATACGCCTTTTTAATATTTGAAATCATTTTTATATTGTTTTTTTTTATTCGAGGCCCCAGCAGATTGCGAGGCCCTAAGGTGTAGCTTATTTATTTTATGCGTAAATCCGGCACTGGTATACCACCTTACAGAGCCGCTTATCTCCTCCTTCAAGGCCAATCCAATAGCAGGTGTTGCTGCTGCAGCAGCTCGATTGTATAGATTGCTCGGAAGCAATTCCGGCTTTGTTCAGTGGAATTGAATCCAGCGTGTAGTAGCAACACGCCCTGAATTTTTTTTCTTTCTTTTAACAACTGACGCCAGCTCGTTCTGAAGGGCTAACTGGCCTCGAAAGGTATCGCCTCGCTTACTCTAAAGTTTCCTGTTTGGCTGGGAGGACTCTGACCTGCCATTGTAAGCACGTGAAACCTGACACTTCCGTAAAAGGGGGCTGGGGGCTGGAGAGACTAGCCCTGGATCGAGTTTCTCTCTAAAAGTGCAATACTCACAGTTCTCCGAGTTAAATTAACGGAATCGTGAGGCTCTTAGTATATAGCGGCTGGAGTTTTTGAAAAGAAGGGAACGTTTATGGGTGTACCCCCAATATTTTACATACCGACCTCCCCAAAATTAGTAAGTGAAAAGGTAGAGCTTTGGTTAAAGAATGGTGGCTTGCACGGCAGCAAACTTGGAGGCGGCGCGGGGAGGGGGGTTGGCGATCGGGATTTGTGAATCATGGAGCAAAATGAATTTTACGGAGCTCTTTCAAACGTGCACTGTGCCCTGAGTATCACAACTCCTGGTGGAGTTATTATGCCCTAATCCCATCGCAATAAATTGAGACTAGGCAAGACCGCGTGCTGTTTGGCGCCTCCCCTACACGTCCACAGGTCTGCGCCGCGAAAAGTTTGCTCTTGGAAAAAACTAGCCTGTGGTTCACACA